TCAGACAAAAGTTTTGTGATTTCGAAGAGGACATAAGGTGATTGGTTTGACTTTGGGTGGCATTATCAAAGTCAGGGCAAGGTCACTTCGAATTTTTTTAATGGAATCTTTCATTTTTCATTATATATTCTTGTAGCTTACTTCAAGAGCTTTCCAAAATATAACTATAAGTTCATTTTCATTAAGTACTTCTCGAATTATAAGGCTTGCAAGTTATAGCATCGCCGGTATTAGCATTACTCAAGGAGTCCAACTAACTGCTAAAACCTGAATGTTGTTTAAGATTATGACCTAGATAACATTTGTCGAGATCAAAGTCATTGGAGATTGTTCTTATTTTCATTTTTGCACTAAAAATTCATTTGTACATAAAAATGAAAAGATAAGCTACAAGAATATGTAATGAAAAATAGATAATTTCATTTAAAAAATTTAAAGTGACCTTGTCCTACCTAAGATCAAACCAATGGTATCATCTTATGTCCCTCTCGATATATGTGTGTGTGTGTGTGTGTGTGTGTGTGTGTGTGTGTGTGTGTGTGTGTGTGTGTGTGTGTGTGTGTGGGTGTGGGAAAAAGTGTGTGTGTGTGTGTGTGTGTGTGTGTGTGTGTGTGTGTGTGTGTGTGTGTGTGTGTGTGTGTGTGTGTGTGTGTGTGTGTATAGAACCATGATTGGCATTATTTTATCCGTCCCCAAAAAACCCAGGAGGTTTTTTGAATTTTGAAAAAAATTGGATTATATGGGAAAAATTAATTTTTTAATTAAAAACATATAACAGGAATGTATTTATAAATATTGATTGAATATAGGGATACTAATAAACTAACTAGACTGATGTAATTATGTTTAAAATCATATAACATATTTTATTTTCGTATAACAAATCAAACTAACCAAGATTTCTTATAAATCAAAGAAAGGATACGGGCAGTAGGAGTCAAGCGCAGAAGACGTCGCAAATAATACATTTATGAAGTATGAAACTTCTTTATTTACTAAAGCGCGCTTACATGTTTCGGTTCACTTTTGAGTCTTCTCAGAGACAACATAATATTTTATTTTAATGCATATTTGATTTTATAAGCCCTCTTTCTATGAAAATTTACTTTGAAATTGAATCTAAATTACATTTAAACAGGGTTGGGTGATTTTTTTTTTTTTTTTTTTTTTTTTTTACGTTAAAGTTAATGACTTATAAAATTAAGTTAAAAGTGGAATGTGAAGGAATAAAAAATTAACTTAATAAAAATTAAGATTGAATTAATTTAAGCTTAAAAAAGAGTTAATTTAAAAAAAAATTATTTTTGAGATAAGAATGTCCTAATTTTTCTTAAAATGAGATTTAAATAACACTTACAATATAGATTATTAGATAAATTTAATTTTTTTATTCACATCTAAGTTACTTATACATAAAAGTCAAAATATCATAAGACATTTTTATCAAAATCTAGCGAGAGAGAGGGTATATATTTACATTATTTCTTTGTTTTTAACCTTTATCTAATTTCTTTAATTTCCTTTCTTTAATTTCCGAAACGACTGTTCACGCATGTTTACGACTACATCGACTATATATTTGTTGACAAAAAATATACATAAAAATTTTGAAAATGGGTGGATATGAAGCACTATTTTACAACAATTCTTCATCTAAGATTCGTTTCATATTTATATTGCTGAAATATAATGTTTATATACACCTTAATGTGATTCAAATATGAACGGGAATAAAGCAAGAATAAAAACTGACTACCATATGGTGTGACTCTTATTATAAAGTCTCTAATTATAAAATCATTGAACTTTTTTTACATTAATTTTTTAATATTTAAAATTTTAATATTTAAAAAAAAT